AAAAAAAAAAAAAAATACCGTTGGAGACTTAGCCTCATTGTTCATATCCTAATTTAAACACAGATGATGTGTTCCTATATTATATGTAATTAAAAATAAATTTCCAGCTGGGTACAGCAGCTCACATCTGTAATCCTAGCATTCTGGGAGGCCAAGGCAGGTGATTGCCTGAGCTCACAGGTTCAAGACCAGCCTGAGCCAGAGCAAGACCCCCATCTCTAAAAATAGCCTGGCATTGTGGCGGGTGCCTGTAATCTCAGCTACTTGGGAGACTGAGGCAAGAGAATGGCTTAAGCCCAAGAGTTGGAGGTTGCTGTGAGCTATGACACCACAGCACTCTACCAAGAACAAAGTGAAACTCTGTCTCAAAAAAAAAAAAAAAACTTAATTTCCAGGCCAGGCATGGTGGCTCACATCTGTAATCCCAGCACTCTGGGAGGTTCAAGGCGAGTGGATTGCTTGAGTTCACAAGTTCAAGAACGGCCTGAGCAGGAGGGAGACCTCATCTCTACCAAAAATAGAAGAAGTAAGGCAAGAGGATCACTTGAGCCCAAGAGTTGGAGTTTGCTATGAGCTATGATGATGCCATGGCACTCTACCCAGGGTAACAGCTTGATACTCTGTCTCAAAAAAAAAAATTCCAACTAACTGTTTACAGGTCCTCCATTCATTAGAAGAGAATATAACTTCCTTCTTCATAGGCTGAGTAACGCTCACAGACTACTATGCAATCAATGCCAGTGAGACCAGTTAGGAGGACATAAGTCACCACTCTGCAACAACATGACCCAATGGTGCAAGTGTTCTGGATCCTACATTGCCACTTCCTGCACCCCAAGAACCCAAGATTAAGTGAGAGGGGCATCATTTCCAGCACCATAACTATAAAATCGTCGTCTTCTCTTTGGGCCATCATGTAGACCAGAAGAAAAGGTACACAGAAGAGGAACTCAGCAAGTCATGACAAAGTAGAAGCACGTGGAAGGCTGGCAATAATAAACATAACCCCTGGTACCCCAAGCCCAGACAGGTTCTACCTGTTCCATCTGGCCCCAATTTTAGGACTCACTAACTTTGCACAGATGAGCCAAAGGGCTTGGCAAGAGGCAGTCTCTGACTTGCCTGACTGCTCCACAGAACTTACCTCTTGGGCGAAATGAAGGGAATGCAGAGAAGCAGCACGACAAAGACCTCTGCATAGAGGAAGGTGGCAACTGCAGTCCACTGCAGACTCATCCTGTTGCCAGAAGGTTTCCCACAGACAGATGTGAACTTGTTTCCTGGCAGAGCACATAAGGGACAGGAGCCCTAAGAGCAAGGCAGCCTATAACATCCAGCTCCTCACCCTGAATCCCAGGACTCTGCTTCGGACTCTTCCCCATACTAGGCCACCCTAACCATGGCTCCCTGGCAGGTAGTGTTCAAAGACCCCAAAGTTCTGTTTGCTGGACCAGTTACTTGCCCCCCCCCCATGAGTGTTAACGTGTCCACAGCCACCTTTCCTGATGATTCCTTGCCTAAGTGGTCCAAAGACTCCTTGTGCACCTTTAACTAGGAAAGCGTTTTTTCAAAAAGAGTATCACACGGCGCCCGGGTGACTATCCTCGACGTCTGCTGGGTCGGGTCTGCTCTGCTCCGCTCCGCTCCCCTCCCAGCCGAGCCCCAGAACTTCACTGTCTTGGGGACCCACCTTATCCCAAAGCTGCTGGCGTCCCCACCCCGGGGAAGCCAGAGGACCCTTCCTTCCCTCGCCCATCTAACAACACCGAGCAACCAGCAGCCTCCCACTCGGGCTGCATCAGGGACTAAAAATGCCTCAACTGGTGTTCTGCCTCAGAGGCGGAGGCCTCGGGGCGCCTCAAAACTACCCACAGAGAACGACTCCTAGAGGGCGGGTCTAGACTTAGCACCTCAAGGGCCCATCTAGAGAAAGTTCTAGAAGCAGCAGTCTCCTCAGAAGTCAGAAGAGCCCTGTCTGCAGCCCCCGTGGTCCACAGCATCCACTCAATTCTGAAAGCCACCCGCGCAGCACCAAGAGGCCCCCTGAGATAGCCCCGGCCCGGCACATGCTCCCGAAACCCACCCAGGTAGCACCTTCAGGTAGGGCTTTACCGCCAGCCCCCTCGCCCCCTGAGGTTGACTCCTGAAGGCGCCGCCCCGATTTCCCTTCGCCTGGCCCTGCCCGCACAGCCGGGTCGGCCGTGGGCCCCACGACTGCCCGGGCCACCCAGTTTTTCAGAGTTGTTCGCCTCTCTCCCTTTTCAAGGGGCCGGGGGAGCCTTGATGGCCCTGGAGCCCGACCTGGCACGCGCGGAGCCGGCTCACCGAGTTTCCCACAGCCACCGCGCAAGCCTGGTGGCAGCCTCCAAACGCTCCCACCACAGCCTCGGCCTCGGCCCCGCCCCTCACCCCGCGGCCGGAAACCGGAAGAGCCCGCTGGGCCCCGCCCCCAGCCCTGGAGGGCCGCAGCGCCTCCGCCTACGGCCACTTCCCGCCCCGCCCTCACCCTAGGGCCCAACGCCGAAGGCGTAGAATGGAAGCGGCACCTGGCGGTCGGCGGCTGCGTCTCCGGCACCTCGGGCGCGCGGAGTTGGGAGGGGAGTGCGGGGCGGGGCCTTGGCGGGAAGGCAAGGGCAGCTTCTACAGCCCGCGCGGACGTCTCACGTCTCTGTGTTCAGAGGAGGGGACGGGGCGAGAACGAGGTGGGGCGCCCCGCGCCCGGACTCCGCCTCCCGCCCCTCCTTCATCTCCTCCCCTTCCCTCGACGCACCCCTGGGGAGGGGTGGAAGGGTGGGGATTCTGGGCCGGTGGCGGAGTCACTGTTGCTTCAGCCAGGCTGCGGAGCGGACGGACGCGCCTGATGCCCCGGGGAGGGGCGCCACCAGGGCAAGAGGAGGAGGAAGAGAGGAAGAGACGCCCTCTCTGCCCGAGACCTCTTGAGACTGACCTCAGGGGGATAGGGGACTGACAAGAGAGGGGAGCCACGTTCCTACACTTGGGCTGCCTGAAGAGGCCTTAATCCTGGAGTGCCCTGAGCCCACCGCACCAGGGGCCCCAGCACAACCTCGGGGGGCCTAAAGCGACAGTCTTTAGGGACCACTGCCAGGTTTCCAGTTGCCTAAACAACGAGCCCCGGGTCAGAGCAACAACCTTTCCAGCCACCTGCCTGGACTGCTGCTTCAGGCACCAGTCCCAGTCCCCTGCTTGCCAGCCCAGGTGACATGCCGGTGCTTTCCACCCCTCGATCCTCACGGGTCACCACGCTGAAGCGCACAGCCGTGGTCCTGGCTCTCACGGCCTATGGAGTCCACAAAATCTACCCCCTGGTGCGGCAATGCCTGGCTCCGGCCAGGGTCACCCAGGGGCCAACCAGGGAGCCAACGCAAGAGGTCTCCGGGTCCACAGTGGCCAAGGCCGGCATGAACCGGGTATTCCTGCAACGACTCCTGTGGCTCCTGCGGCTGCTGTTCCCCCGGGTGGTGTGCCGGGAGACGGGGCTGCTTGCACTGCACTCAGCTGCCCTGGTGAGCAGGACTTTCCTGTCTGTATATGTGGCCCGCCTGGACGGAAGGCTGGCCCGCTGCATCGTGCGCAAGGACCCACAGGCCTTTGGCTGGCAGCTGCTGCAGTGGCTCCTCATCGCCCTCCCTGCCACCTTCATCAACAGTGCCATCCGCTACCTAGAGGGCCAGCTGGCCCTGTCTTTCCGCAGCCGTCTGGTGGCCCATGCCTACAGCCTCTACTTCTCTCAACAGACCTACTACAGAGTCAGCAACATGGACGGGCGGCTTCGAAACCCTGATCACTCCCTGACGGAGGACGTGGTGGCCTTTGCTGCCTCAGTGGCCCACCTCTACTCCAACCTAACCAAGCCGCTCCTGGATGTGGCTGTGACTTCCTACACCCTGCTACGAGCGGCCCGCTCCCGTGGGGCTGGCACAGCCTGGCCCTCAGCTATTGCTGGCCTCGTGGTGTTCCTCACTGCCAATGTGTTACGGGCCTGTTCTCCCAAGTTTGGAGAACTAGTGGCAGAGGAGGCGCGGCGGAAGGGGGAGCTACGCTACATGCACTCTCGTGTGGTGGCCAACTCGGAGGAGATCGCCTTCTATGGGGGCCACAAGGTGGGACAAGTTGGGGCACTGGGAACAGAGAAAGTGTGTGGCTGGGAGGCCCGGGGCAGGCGGCCGTGGAGGTGGGAAATTAGGGCGCGGGCTGATGCCAAGCGTGTGGGCCCATGGGGAGGGTTGGGAGGGTGGGGGAGTCATGCATTGGATAGCTGTGGACTTAGGCGCAGAAATGGAGAAGCAGAAAGACTGGGTGGAGACCTCCCTTGCTGGCTGCCTGCTTGCTCCAGGCCACTTCTGCTTCCTCTCCTTCTCAAGGAGGCTGACCTGGACTTGGAGCTGCAATCCTAGTGGTTTGAGACACTTGAGCTCTGTCTTGCCCATACCTGCAGCCAGCCGGGAAGAGACTTTTGGGAATCAGGACCATGGGACTGGGCCTACTGTCCAGCACCCCCTGGGCCCCAGGACCCTTTGAAGTCCTGCATCCAGCAAAGCTGGCTGGCCAGGCAGACAGGCATTATGGGCATGACTCAGCCCAAGCAGAGGTTAATGAGCAGCGCCCAGCTCAGCAGCCACCACAGCAGTGGCCGTACTTGGAGTCAAGGCCGCCTGAACTCACAGGCCTGCCTGCCTACCAACCCGCTCAGCTGCCTCTCCGCACTCCTAGACCAAGGATGCTGGGCCCAGGCCACCACCACAGCAGGACACACTTCCTGCTCCTTGCACAAGCTGCTGTCCTTCCTCCTGGGACCCAGGCGCATAGCTCCCTGGTGGGCTGGGGCAGGCCAGGCAGCTGCTAGGAAAGGTTACTCCAGGCCAGTGCTCCCTTTATCTTGCCCGAGCCCCTCCCCTTCCTCATGCCTGGGGTTGCACAGCTGCCTTTGCCCAGCTCTGACTCTAGGGCTTCTGGGGGGGAGGGCACATAGTATCCATCTCCTGAAGGGCTCTTGTGTACTACCTGGGTCAGGTGACCTTTTGCCCCAGGACCTTGTGTCATTCATTGGCTGTGTACCAGGCAAAGATACAGGCTTGTCCCTAAGTTTTAAAAATGGCTTATCCCTGAATTCTGCAAAGAAGAGCATTCTGGGTATGGGCCAGACTACAGTTTGGAAGAAAAGGCACTGACCCTCCACCGAAACCCTTCTCCTGCTCTCTTCCTCTCCCACTGCAAGGGCTTGGCAGGCAGCCATGGCCTTGGGTGAGGTGCTTGGCATGTCACCTGCAGCTACATTGTCAGTCTTGGCGGGCTCTTCCACCAGCTCCCAGCATGAGTCTGGACTGCTAGGTGCTCTGAAAGGTGTGCACACTTCAGGAATGGGGTATGGGGCTTAAGAAAACCTCACAAGTGGCCAACAATAAAGGAAACCTTTCTCAGTAAGTCAAAGCAGTGTTTATAAGAATCTGGTTCTCCTAACAGCCCTGCCAGGGTGGTCCAAATTCCAGCACTGTCTGCCACAACACAGGCTGCGTGGACTTGGGCAGATCATTTTGCAACTCTGAGCTTCAGTGCTTAGAGAATACATGTGGTCGGATATGGTGCAAATCAAATGGACACACGTGAAAGCACTGAGCAGAAGGTGCTAGGCTGGGTAGCTGTCCCCAGATGGGTGTGGGGAGGTGGGACTGAGTTGCATGCCCCTGAACTGACCCTTGGTAGCCTCACGCTGAGCACTTTCTGACACCCCCACCCTCCCCTGCCCATCTGACTGCTCCTGCCACTCTCTTCCCTGCACAGGTCCTTTCCCCCATCTGTCCCTGTCTTGACATGCAGGTGGTAGCCAGTGAATAAAAGGGTACGGAGGGCACAAGTGGCCTACTCCCTGTTGAGGGAACAAGAGCCGAGCTCCTGGTTTCAGTGGGAAACTGCAGTGCAAGTTTCTCACCCCAAGGAGCTCTGGGAAAGGAAGGGTGGTGGGGCCTAAGACTGTCAAACCAGGTTTTTAAAAGCAAGAGCCCTGCCCTTTGCTCTTCTGTGCTGTTCTTTGCTTAGTACAAGGTCTGTCCTTCTGGTCTTCTCTTGGGGAAAGAGAGGTCATGCCTAGACAGCAGGGCCAGGAAGAAGGTGCTAGGGGTAGCCCAAAGAAATACGCTCAGCAGAGGACTAGAGGGTGGCTACCCCAGGCCTGTTTTCAGCATACAGAGGGGAGTGGAAAGTGGGGATGAGAGCCACATTGTGATAGCAGGTAGTTCTTTAACCCCCACCCAATCATAACCCCCAGCTGTCAGATGCCTTTGTTATGTCATCAGATGGTCTAATACAGTGGTTCTCACCCTGTGGATTGTGACACACAGGAAGTGTATTATGGGTCACTGCATTAGGGAGGTTGAGAATCACTGGTCTAACACCTGTGAGCAGCACTGGGGACTCCTAGTGTTGCCCTCACAGGAATTGTCCTGAGGCCTCCCTGTCTCTGTCACACCTGGCAGGTAGAGCTGGCCCTGCTGCAGCACTCCTACCAGGACCTGGCCTCACAGATCAACCTCATCCTTCTGGAACGCCTGTGGTATGTCATGCTGGAACAATTCCTCATGAAGTATGTGTGGAGTGCCTCAGGGCTGCTCATGGTGGCCGTCCCCATCATCACTGCCACTGGCTACTCAGAGTCAGGTGAGAGCCAGCGCTCCAAGGAAGCTGGGGGCAAGAGCCCTATCCTGTACTGGGCTCCCCAGTGTGGGGACATTGAGGCCTGTGGGCAGCCTCAAGGTTACCAGAGGTTGGGCTGTCCTTGTAACTCCCTCACCAATCTGTCCCTGTCCTTGGCCCAACTGCTGCTTAGAGAGGGGACAATATGGGGAATACCTTGGGTGAACCCCAGCACCTCTGACTTAGGTTTCCCCACTCTGAAAATAGCTCTTGGAGGTTGAATAGGGCAGAGACCTCCACCCTAAGGCCTTTTGGAGGGGTGGGAAGTCTGTTCTACTTGTTACTGTAGCAATAGTCGGGGTTTTTTCTTATTTGTCCCTCTCCTGGTTTGCAAGAATCCACAAGCAATCTGCTAGTAGCTGTCCTTTGAAAGGTGGATGTGCAGGCTTGAAACCAAGTTAGGTCAATTGGCTGCTCCCCTCCTCCTGGACCTTGGGACACTTGAGACACCAGAAAATGCCCCCTCAGACCTGAGTCTTACCTTGTTTTTCCTCTTTGCTATTACTTCTTCCAGTTCACGTGTGTGACAGCTCACTTGCATGTTTGCTGATTTCTTTGTTCCATATTTCTTTCTTCTATCTCCATCCTTCTCTGTGTTACCTTCTTCCAGATAGACATCTTGTAAGGGCTTTGTTATGGGAAATTCTCAATTATTTTGTTGTCTTAAAATATCTTTACTCCACCCTTTTTCCCAAGCTACAGTTTAATTGGGTTCAGTAGTCTGGGCAGACGTTTATTTTCCCTCAGCCTGTGACAATATTTCATTGTCTTCTCCTTTCTTCTGCAACCAGTGGAAAATCTGTTATTTGTCGGATTGTGCTACCTTAATAACCTTCATTTTTTCTCTGGATACTTTGAGTATTTTCTTGGTAGTGTTTTGTAGTTTCACTATGATGTATTGAAGTGTAGATTTCTGTCCATCCTCCTTGAGACTTGTATGCTTTTGAATATTGATTTTTTAATTATTCAGGAAGATTTTCAGACTTGATCTTTTCAAATATTGCCTGGCTATCATTCTTGTACTCTCTTCTAGAACTCCTGCTAGCTATGAGCTGGATGGACTTCTCATTCTCTTGGCTGCATCTCTGCACTTCTCGTTAACATTCCCATCAGCACAATGTATGCTGCATTCTGGAATGTTCCTCAATAATTCACCAATTCATCAATTTTCTCTCTGGCCATGTCTAATTT